ACATGAAAAGTCTTGCCTAAGTCTATTTCAATGCAACACACAAGATCAATGCACCGATTTTCAAATGAGCACTGGTGACACAGTCAGTGCCACATTCCCCTTTAGGTAGACTAAAAACCTAGGACACGGGACCTAAGTGATTCATCAAGGCAGAGCAGCAAGACAAAAGGCTCCAGACCGACCACTGGCTATTCAACTGTCTCTTTCTCTGGAAATTTAAAGCATAGTTCTTCACATTTACTTTTACTATAATGAGGAAATTACTGTCAATTCTTGGGCAAATTTTTCTTTTTGTGGTGTTCAAAGGAATGCAAAGACTGCTCACTGAAATTCAGAGCTGAACATAAGACTATAATTGCTACAAAGGAGTGGAAAGAAAAACATAGATAGTAAACGATGTTAAGGAATTTAAAAAATACATAAAGTAAATCCCTGCTTTTCTCCTACACATTAGTAAAAGTTTAGATCTCTTACTCGAAATTGAGAAAATGACTTAGGCTTCCTACCCCCACTACCCAGACCCCAAATAAAAACTGGACAACTATCAACAGCAAAAGTAAAAGCTTTTAGTCTTTGGGAATGGGTGGGAAGGAGGAGCAGAGGGTCACTGCATAGTCCCTGTGGTAGACAAAGCCAGATCCACATTCCAGGGAAATCTGGCTGGCCCAAGTTTTTCCTTTAATACAGATTGGCCTCTGTCACTAAGCCAGCCTCTGTAATCTTCCCAGGCTGCCATTGCTAGGGAAGCCAGGAATCCCTTCTAATTAATCAAGCTCTCACAACAAAAATTTTCCCACCCACAATAAAGTAGGCTGGGGGTGGGGATGTGCAGCAAAACAATCTTTGTAGCCAAAAGAACTGTGGACTTTGGTATAATACCTAACTAATCCAAGAAAACAGATGCAGGAAGCAGAGGAAATGATCTACAGAGACACACAATGAAATAGGAAGATTTCATAGTATTTGCATTGCTGAAATTCAAGTTGAAAATCTTAAATCTTAAGATATAACTGTTATTTGAAATGAGGGCTGGCAACATTAAATCCTTTTAAATACCTTGAAAGTGGGGCTGGTGAGATGGCTCAGTGGTCTAGGGCACCTACTTGGAACAAGCTTAGCAAAGCACAGGGACCGCGGTTCAATCCCCCAGCACCACATTCCAGCCAGTCCCGCCCCCTGCTGGGCTGAGCTGGCCACACACACACACAATAAATAAATAAATAAATGTTTAAAAAAAAAAAAATACCTTGAAAGTCAGGGCTGGACCTATCAACTTCCCTGAGGTAGAACATTTTTAAGAAAATTACATAATACAACAACCACTGTCGAATTTCTATTATTTTGTTTAGGAGATTTTGTATTATTTCTGATCTTTCTATTATTATTTTGTATTCTCTTTAAAATAATAATAACAACAACAACAACAACTTTTTTTTGTATTTGGTATAAGGTCTCACTACAGAGTTCTCAGACTCATAGTGATCCTCCTGTTTTCAGCCTCCCCAGCCCTGGGATTACAGGTGTGCACCACTACACCTAGACTCAGTCATGGGCTAGTGAGCCCAGGGGTGGGGCCGGAGTGGCATGTAGTACCAGGGATCAAACCCTGGCCCCTGCTGTTGCCTCCAGTCCAATGAGCTATTTCACTAGCCCAATAATAATGTCTTTTCACTAAAGTTTTATGCGTTAGTGGGCAGGTGTCCATGACCAATACCTCATGTGCCCATGTCTTTCCCACTTACAGTTGCAAAGGAAAGACCTTGCCTTGGCCTTGTTGATCCAACTGACCTCTGCAGCTACTTTCACTCTAAGTAACTGCCCCTGGATGCTAACTGACAAGGGCAGGAGGGGAGAGAACAGAAGGACCCAACCACTTAAATCTGTTCTGTTTGTGGAGGGCTGGGGCTGTGGCTCAGTGGTACTGCACTTGTCTGGATTGGATTTCAGGCATTACAAAAAAAGTACAAAATAATTTTTTTTTATTTTATTTATTTATGTGTGTGTGTGTGTGTGTGTGTGTGTGGCCAGCTCAGCCCACCAGGGGGCGGGGCTGGCTGGCATGTAGGGCTGGGGAATTGAACCACGGTCCCTGTGATTTGCTAAGCTTGTTCTAAGTAGGTGCTTTAGACCACTGAGCCATCTCACCAGCTCAAAATAAATTTTATTTATTTTTTTTATAATTAATTAATTATTTATTTATTTAGTGTGTGTGTGGCCAGCTCAGCCCACCAGGGGGCGGGGGCTGGCTGGCATGTGGTGCTGGAGGATTGAACCGCGGTCCCTGTGCTTTGCTAAGCTTAGCTTGTTCTAAGTAGGTGCTTTAGACCACTGAGCCATCTCACCAGCCCCTCAAAATAAATTTTAAAGTAAAAATAAATCCATGCTGGCCGACACAGCTGCTACTAGCCATCTGTGCCTACTTAGCATCTGAAACGTGGCTAGTACGAATTGAGACCTGTACAAAGAGATGTATTTATATACTTACTATACACATAGATCAAAGCATGCATACATATATATATAACATGTATATACATATAATATACGATATATGACACATATCATATATGTTATATATATATGTACATATATATCTATATTTGTTTATATTTCAGACTTTGCAGGTAATAAAACCATTGTTGCAACTATTGAACTCTCCCACTGCAGCAGGGACAACCTGTAAACAAACTGGAGAGGCTGTATACCAATAAAGCTGTATTTATAAAAACAAGCAGCTGCCATGTGGGCTATAATTTGCTGACCTCCATCTGGTCTAGACTTTATGGTCTGAGAAATTTTTAAATATTTGTTTGAGTCTGGTATAGGTTGGTGGTGAAATATTTGCCTAGTAAGTCCAATCCCCAGAATGACAACAAAATAAAAAATAACAATTGGGATGAGTGCAAAGGTTGGGATTAACACTGCTCTGTGCCTTTATTACAACCTTCCCACTTCTTTATCAAAGAGTCACTAAAGTGCAGAAGCACATGCCTCACTGCCATAAGTAGTAGGCCCAGATGGCAGGAGAATCTGATGCTGTAGTTCCAAGGATTCTTCATCTCCTGCACTGCTCCCCTTTCCTGGCAATCTGGCCTAGGAGGCAGTTGCAGGACAGAACTGAAGTTAAAAAGAAAAACAAAACAGCAAAAGAAAAGAAGAAAAAGCACTTATTTTCTGGGAAGTCAGAAGACCCACTTTTCATCTGAAAAGGATGTACATTGTTTGCACAGCAAACTAACTTCACAATTCCAGGGAAAGTCTTATAATAACTCAGGTACAAGCGACAAATTATTTGATGTTCGTAAGTTGTTCTGTTGCTTTAAAAACCATGCTTTAACAATTTTTCGTCCCAGATAGTCAAAAGTAGACATATCTATATAAAAAATCTGCATAAATTAATCCTTTAAAACTTCACCTAGAGGCCAGGGAGATGGCTCAGTGGAATATGCACTTCCCTGGTAGGCGCAAGGGTCTGAGTTCAATCCCTGGTTACGCCAAAAAAAAAAAAAACTTCACCTATTCGCCTAATGTCCATATATTAATGCAAAACACAGAGTAAAATAAAATAAAATATGGGCACCATTTAGCCACCAATACACTCATCAGGGGCAACCACACTGGAAATCTAGTTACCTGATCTGTTATTTACCATCATGCTGTATTTCTAAATGCCATTTCTGATGGTCCGTGTAAATCGAGTCCCTAGATAACTGAAGCCCAGCCAACATAAAAGAACCAGCAACCAACTGGGCTAGGAAACTAGCACAATCATGACAGATATAAAATAGCTGTTGGGTTTTTTTTGTTGTTGTTGTTTTGTTTTGTTTTGCAGAACAGGGGACTGAACTCAGACCCTTGCACTTGCCAGGGAAGTGCTTATTCTACTGAGCCATCTCCCCGGCCGTGGCTGGTGTTTTAAGCCACTAAGATTTAAGGCAGTTTTTCAACATTAATAGATAACAAAAACATTTCTCAGCACCAATAACAGATAGAGAAGTTGGCCTGGCCTACTTAGTGAGATTCAGCCTTGAAATAAGGCACAAAAAGGGCTGGGAATATAGTTTAATGGTAAGCATATACCTAGCATTTGGAAGGCCCAGGCCCAGGGTTGAATGCCCCAACACCCCCGCCCCCACAAAAACAAAACAAAACAAAAAGCAATATAAAATTTGTAAGTCAATGCTCAAACCAGAATTCTTATCTAGAGTTAAGAATAAAATATGTTTAGACAGATAATTGATTGTTCACCACTTATATACCCTCACTGGAAGGAGTACTGAAGAGTACATAGGTACAAGAAGTAATTGTAAGCAATGAAATTTATAACTTATTAGTAGATCTAAATAAGCACTGACCTGGTTAAGAATAAAACTATGGTATTAATTACTTACGAGATCAATCAACTTCTATAATTTATACTTTTACATTTTAAACTGGTATATAAGACAATATTTGCACAAAGGAAAATACCAAAAGAACAGCCAATGTGTGAAAGGTGTCTAAGAGGTTATACTAATTACTTATTAATTTTTCCTCTCATCTTCCTCACACAGAATCCTACCATCCCTCTACACCTCAAGATGATAGCAGCCCAGACCATCAAAGGATAAAGAAGGAATATTTATAAGAAAATCAAAGAGGGCAGTCAGGCAGTCAGGCAAAAAGAGCCCCCTTCTGGCATACAGGCTATACTGCTTCTTTCTTTCCTGCTTCTTTGACTTTTTTCTGCCTTGTCAGAGTCAGAAAAGCTGAAACAGACATCAATGTGAATGAGTTTTTAACCCTGAGGACCAAGCTATAACCAAAAGTCATCCAACACAAGACTTTTTGGGCAAAGAACTCCTTGTAACTATATAAGCTATTAATTTCCTTCTCCCATTAGTCTTAAAATAATTTCAATGTATCTGCTTAAAGCTTTCAGAACCACAAGTATAAATAAAGTTAAGAACATCAATTTTCAATTAACACAGAACTCATATTGAAAACTAAGTATTACTTACTTTAACAGCAAATTTCTTAGACGTCATCGTTTATTGATTTCTACAGCAACTATAAGAAGAAAAAAAGTCAAGTTATATTTATCAAAATCTCTTTTTTTGGACATTATATAGGAAAAAAAAATTGGCTGAATAAAACTCCAGTATGAATTTGTGACTGAATATTCACTTGTAATTGTCCTTAACCAAAATACTATATTTAATCGGTAGTTTAAAAATTACTTACAGAGACCTGGGGCATGGACATCAATATCCCTAATAAAACCACAGAAGTTCTCAACAAAATACTAGCAAATCAAATCTAGCATTTCATTTCATTTCATTTCATTTCATTTCATTTCATTTCATTTCATTTCATTTTGCAGTACCAGGGACTGAACTCAGGACCTTGCGATTGCCAGGCAAGTGCTTATTCTACTGAGCTATGTCCCCAGCCCTCTAGCAATGTTTTAAAATATTATATGCCATATCCAAGTTAGATTTCTCCCCAGAATGAAATGATCACTTAATATCTGACAGTTAATCTATATAATAGATCATATATTTACAGAATAAAAATTAGCACACGATCATTTTTTTAAAAAATAAAATCAGAATGCTTGTTACATATTTAAAAGTCTATTACAACAAGAATAGAAGAGAGCTTACTATAACCTAAGTAATGGCATCTATGACTACAACTAAAATTATATTTAATAATCGATTTTTTTCTCCCCAAGAGGAAGAAAAGATAAGGATGTTTGCTCAACATTGTACTAGATGCTCTAGTCAGAGTACTTATAAGAAAAGGTATATAGATGAAGAAAAAAGCAACTTTTATTCACAAACATGCTCTTGCATATAAAAAATCTTAATGAATCATAAATACAAATAAACTATTAGTATTAATAAACCAATTGAGGAAGACTGCAGGACAATATCAGTATTTTAAAATCCACTACATTTGTATATACCAGTAAAGAACAACCTTAAAGTAAAATAAAGAAAACAATCTCATTTATAATGCCAAGAAAAAAATATTTAGAGTCAGACACAGTGGTGTACATCTGAAATCCCAGCTAGGAAGCTGATGTATAAATTGGAAGTCGGCCTGGGCCACTTAATGAGATCCTGTCTTGAAATAAGGAACAAAAAGGGCTGGGAATGTAGTTCAATGGTAGAGCATGTGCCTAGCATTTGGAAGGCCCAGGCCCAGGGTTGAATGCCGCAACACTCCCCCACCACCCCCCACAAAAACAAACAAAAAAGCAATATAAGATTTGTAAGTCAAAAAACCATAAAACATTACTGGAAGAAATTAAAGCCTTAGGTAAATGGGAATATAACCTAGGTTTATGAATTAAAATGACTTACAACTACTAACACAGCAATATTCCCCAAACTGATCTACAGATCGAACACAACCCATTATCAAATTTTAAAGCACTTCTGTGTAGAAACTGTCAAGCTTCTTCTATTATGTATATGGAAATGGAAGGGATCTAGAGTGGCCAAAACAATCTTGGGGAAAAATATACACAAAGCAGCTAGAAAGCTCAGTCTTTCCCATGTAAACACTTAACATAAACACTTCAAAACAATGTGGCCCTACTGTAAGAGTATATGCACAGATGATCAATAGAATAAAATTGGAAATCTAAAAACAGATCTGTACTCATGGCCAACTGGTTTTCAGCAAGAATGTCGACAACATGATGGAGAAGTAGCCTCCCAACAACAGTGCTAGGGCTACTGGATATGCACATGCAACATACTGAAATCAGTCCCTTCTGTACCACTATGTCAAAAAAATTAACTCAACATGGATCAAAGACTTAAATATAAAAGCTGAAACTACAAAACTGTTAGGAAAAAAAAAAAAAACAACAACAACATTGTGGCTATAGAGATAGCTTGGAGTATCACCAGAAGTCCAAACTGTGTAGCAAGACTCTACATCAAAACAAAAAGGAAAAAAAAATGGGTGTTTCACTGCCCTATATTTTCTTAGATGATACCCAAGCACAAATGACAAAAGAAAAAAGTTGGTAAATTAGACTTCAGTAAAATAAGAACTTTTTGTATTTCAAAGAAAGCAGAACAACAATGCACAAAACATGACCCCTCAAAAAAATCTGCAAATAATATATCTTATAAGAATTTGGGGGGCTGGGGAGATGGCTCAGTAGAATAAGAGCTTGCCTGGCAAGCGCAAGGGCCTGAGTTCAATCCCCAATTCCACCAAAAAAAAAAAAAAAAAAAGGAAGAAAGAAACTTGTATCTGGCATATATGACAAAGCTCTTATAATTGAATAGAAGGATAAGTAAGCCAACTTAGAAGTGGGCAAAGAATATGAATAGACATTTTTTCAGTGATATAAAAATGGTCGAATAAGCGCATGAAAAAAGCATAAAAATGCACAATATCAATAGTTATCTAGGAAATGCAAATAAAACCACAATGAGACATCACTTTATACTAAGTGTCTAGCTCAAAAGAAAAAGAGGTATTGGCAGTGATAAGGGTAAGAGAGAACTCTACACATTGCTGATGGGAATGTAAAATGTTGCAGCCATTCTGGTCAATACTTTAGCAGTTCTTCAAAAGTTAGAACATTTCTATTTTAGGCATATATTCAAGAAAAATAAAAACATATTCAAACATAACCTTATACAGGTGTATTCACAGTAGTATTACAACCAAAAGTGTCCATAAACTAATGAATGGGTAAATAAAACATGATATTATCCATAGAGTAGAATATTACTTGGCAATAAAAAGGTTAATGTTCCCTTTTACTGTGCTCAGTTAGAGGATCCCTTATATGTAAGTTGGAGGCTATCCTACTGAAAAAAAGAAGATTTTCCCCAACCCACAGGCTTCTGTACCCTGTCTGAACTCTCTAGAAGGGAGACCAAACCCTTCACATTCAGAATACTGGATTGATGGAAGGCAGAGTCTAAAAAGACTGACATCAGGTGTTCTCCAAGGACACAGCCTGGAGACAGCTCCAAATGGGTCCACACCCATGTGTAGAAATTCTAAGCATCATTTTAATGTTCCACTCTCAAATATAAGCAAACAACCAGGGAACAGTCACAATCTAAGGCAGGAGCCAAGCATGAAAGAAAACAAACCAAACAGAATAAACTACTTGGCTAACACAGAAATTGCGGAGCCAAAGGAGAGCACTAAAAAACAAACGAACAAAAAGCTTATTATTAGGGAAATTTGAAATACAACATCCATAAAGAAAAAAAAAAAGGTTGAAGAAAAGAAACTTAGAAAATAACAAATTAAAAGTATGACAGCTGAAATGAAAAATTTACCAAGAGAGTAGGAAGAAAAAGCTGAGTAAATCAGAAACTTCAGCAAAATCAGAAAGATGAAAAAAGTAAAAAGAAAATAAATTAAAATTAAAGGATCAGTTTAGGACTAGCACATAAAACTCAGGATAAAAACAGACCCATTTTGGGGCAAAAAATACAGTGAATTTTTAAGCACTGGGAACAGAAAAAAATCTTGTAAAAGTTGGGGACTGGGGACATGAGGTAGAGACTTTAAAGGATCAGGTGTCAGACCTCACCCAGAACAACTCTGGAAGCTAAAGAAACAAAGCTATAGCTTCAAAATTCTGAGAGAACAGTTTCAAACTTCCAGCTGCATCTAAACACAAAGGAACAAAACATTTTTAAATATGCAAGGTCTGAAAAAATATCCCATGCCCCCTTTTTCAGGAAGCTACTAAAGATGAACTCCAAAATGAGGAAATTAACCAAGAAAGAGGAAGATGAAGGAAACAGAAAGACTGAGCCAAGAGAACAGCCCAGGAAAGTCCAGGATCCTGAGGGAGATCCTGGCACCACAGCCTCGGGCACGGGGTGGCCCACCAGACACAGAGACCTGGCACACCCAGCAAGCCCTGCACGCCTGCAGATGAACTTCAGACAAGGCTGAAGAACAGGTGATAAGAGTTAGGACAAGTAGCGGACAGCTAAGCAACTGAGGAATAGCAAGGTGGCTGATTACAGGATGAGCAGACTGTGCTAAGATTAAAAGGGGGGGGGGAGGCAGAAAGCAGTTCAAAACAGAGCTCAGCTATAACTAGTACTTACATACATAATAGCAAGCACTGAATCTTGCCCTAAACAATATAAGTTTGCAATATTAGAAGGATGGGACTACGATGGGGTATGTCAATTATATGTAGTGGGAGCATAGCAATTAAAGGGAACAAAAGCTCTACTGTTCCATGGAGTATTCCAGAAGCAATGACTAAAATCAGTAATATTAATAACAACAACCACAACAGTTATAATGAAGCAGAATATGGCAAGTATTTCTACTTATATGGAGTTTTTCCCCTTTACTGGGGACTAAAGCCAGGGCTTTCACTCTGAGATACCACCCCAACCCCTTTTGAAATTTTTACTGAGACAAGGTCTCATTACATTGCTAAACTGTTCACAATAAGTTCAAATTTGTGATCTTCCTGCCTCAGCCTCCTGGCATGCTAGGATTACAGACTTGTACGACCACGCCCAACTATGGAGTCAGTGTTCAGGTGGTAAACTCACCCCAACCTGAAGACCCAGGCAGAGAGAGACTGGAAGGAGGAGGAGGAGGAGGGGGAGGGAAAGCTGTCTGCTGACACTTTGGGCAGACTTGCAGATGGACAATGTCTATCAGAAATGTAACACAAGCCACAAAAGTAACTAAATTTTCTAGTACATACATTTAATAAGATGAACAGAAATAGGTGGAATTGATATCAATGACATATTTCACTTAACCCAATATATCTACCACATAAGCTCTTCAACACACCATCAATATAACATACTGCACGTACATTCTCCCTGTTTTAACTTGGCATGGAAATGGGTATTTTATGTGTATCTCCAGCCCACCTCAACATAGGCTGGTCACCTGTCAGGTGCCCAGCAGCCCTGTGGTTAGTGGCTACTACTTAACAGCACATTTTGAGAGGACCTGGGTTTCTTAAGCAAGAAAAGATCTTATTTGTGTATCCTGAATCCCTTACTTATAAAACAGGAAAAATAATACCTAAC